AAAAAAAACAGAACAAAACAAAAAACAGGTGCCAGTGGTTCACACCTGTAAACTTAGCTATTAAGAGGCTGAGATACAGCAGTTCATAGCCAGCCTGGGCAGGAAAGTCTGTGAGACTCTTATCTCCAATTAACCACCAAAAACCAAAGTGGTGCTGTGGCTCAAATTGGTAGAGTACTTGCCTTGAGCTGAAGAGCTCAGGGACAGTGCCCAGGCCTAGAGTTCAAGCCCCATGACCAACCACCCCCCAAAAGTGTCTTAGAGCCGGGTGCCAGTGTCTCATGCCTGTAATCCTAGATATTCAGGAGGCTGAGATCTGAGGATCAAGGTTCAAAGCCAGACCAGGCAGGAAAAGCCATGAAACTCTTATCTCAAATAAACCACCAGAAAACTGGAAGGGGCACTGTGGCTCAAGTGATAGAGCATTCGCCTTGAGCTAAAGAGCTCAGAGACAACACTCAAGCTGAGTACAAGCCCCGTGACTGACCAAAAAAAAAGTCTTAGAAAAGATAACTAATAAAAATTTCCCTATATCAAAAAGAAAAAAAGAAAGGGAGGAAAGAAGGAAGGAAGGAAGAAAGAGAAAGAAGGAAAGAAAGAAGAAAGAAAGAAAGAAAGAAAGGAAGAAAGAAAAGAAAGAAAAAAATAATGGAATGGCCAGTTTTCCATTCTATAGTCCACTGCCAATTAACACATGTCTTTCAATTCCGTATGCAGGTTATTCCAATGTTCTGCTATTTTAGATAACGACTCAAAGGTTATCTTGATAAGTAATTTTTTAAATCTATAATCAGTTTGCAGAAGTGAAATTATTCAGAGAAATGGAATGATCTTTATGATTCTTAATTCATATCATAATATCTTTAAATTATTAAAACAAATCAGAACTGGGCACTGGTGGCTCACACATATAATTCTAGCTACTCAGGAATGTGGAGATCTGAAGATCGAGGTTGAAAGCCGGCCAAGGCAGGAGAAAGTCCATGAGACTCCTAGCTCCAATTAATCACAGAAAAAGCTGGAAGTAATGCAGTAGCTCAAGTGGTAGAGTGCTAGCCTTGAGCAAAAGGAGCTTAGGGACAATGCTGAGACCCAGAGTTCAATGGCAGGACCAGCAAAAACAAAAACAAACCAACAAAACCCAACAAATCAGAACACTGGAAGCTTAGGGCACATTATATGAACCCCTGAAGACAAATAAGCCCCTGTTCTCTCACACTTATTTTTTTTTTCAGATCACCTTTCCCACACTCCACACTTTCTTTTTTTTTGGTTGGTTGTGGGGCTTGAACTCAGGGCTTGGGTACTGTCCCCTGAGCTCTTTTGCTCAAGGTTAGTGTTCTTTCCCTTTGAATCACAGCACCATTTCTGGTTTTCTGGTTGTTTATTGGAGATAAGTGTTTCACTGACTTTCTTTTTTTTTTTTTTTTTTTTGGGTCCAGTCGTGGGGCCTGAACTCTGGGCCTGGGCACTGTCCCTGAGCTCTTCAGCTCAAGGCTAGCGCTCTACCACTTGAGCTACAGC